AATAAAGGCTTGTTGTTTGGAGGTAATTTGTTATTCGGCAATAGATAACTAATACAGAACGTTTTGTAATTGTGTAACCAACATGAGTTTGGAGGCTAAAACCTGACCTCATTTATTTTCTGCTGAAAAAGTAGAGAATCACAGGACTGAAAGTCTTCTCTTTTTTGGAGAATAAACAACTGTAATTACAATTTAAACAGGATATTGTAGAGATCCGTCATAGGGATTAACACTAATTAGAACTAACAGATGTTTTGCGAAAGCCAACCTTCTCTTTACAATAAACACTCGTCCCTTGATAATATATTTCTTATGAACATGTGTGTGTGTGTGTGTGTGAACAGCACTCTGTTTAATTTAATGTTTGACCAGGTTTTCATTATTGGTGGAGGAATAGACGAGTAGGAGTATTTATATGCACCTCAAAATTGGTTATATATTAAAATTAGGGATGAAAGACTTTTTGCTCTTAACATTTAGTATACTTTGCACAGGTTTTTAAAAATTATCTGACTTTCTACCTGCAGGCTACAAGAACACTTTCCCCCATGGTGCTGGGGTTGGAACCCAGGGCCTTGTACGTGCTCAGGGAGACGGTCTACCAGTGAGCTATATCCCCAGCCCAAGGAAAAAATTTGAACATTACTTTGAGTCTCCTTTTATGGATGAAAAATCTCATTATGGCTCCAATTTTTAAATATTTGACAAGCAATTATCATAACAAATGGTTTTAGACATTTTTGGCTTTCGCAGAGATTGAAAGGTGAAAATCCTCCCTTATGATGGCAGCAGCAAAGCATTTCTTATTATTATCGCAAATATGAAACAGTATGTGATAGATTTTTATAAATCATGTCACCTTAAAAATTAACTGAGCATTAACCACAATAAAGGAGGAAAACATTCTTTTGGAGTGGTGTTGCAAAAGGCAGTTAAATTAGTCAATTAAAATGCATTTTTTTTTCTTAACATGTTTTGACTTTCCCATCTTCAGAATGATTCCTTTGTTTATGGATTCTTAGGCCCTTCCTTTTTTATGATTTTATTAGTTGTACAGGGGGATACATTGTGATATTGCCATGTGTGCTTAGAATATATCTTAATGGATTTGCCCCCTCCATCTTTCTCCCTCTTCCTCCCTCCCCTGCTTCTTAGAGCAATTTCAACAGGTTTCATTCTTCTATTTTCATATATGGATACAAAATACATCCACCCTATTCACTCTCATTTCCCCTTTCCTTGTGCCCACCCACCTCCCACTGGTACCCACCTCCAGAGAGGACTCATTTTTCCGTCCTGCCCTTCATTTTTTAAAATCACATGTATATTGATAGTCCAAGGGGGTTTCACCTTGGTACTTCAGGTCTGTGTAGATCACGCTTTAATCAAATTTGACCCCTCTCCCCCATTACTTACTCACTCTCTATCATCGTGCTCCCCTAATATTCAACAGCTTACAGCACAGTACATTATGTTACATTCGTATATAGATGGGTGGTTTCACTATTTTTTAGTAAACTTAGTCAAACTGGATTGAGAACCTCCTGGATACCTTCACCAAGTACTATGTAAGAGAAACACAAAATAAACAAATAGGAGACAGACTGTCTCAGGCACAAGAAGCCCACAATTGAGTTAAGATCAAACAAGTACCTGAAATGGTTGAAGAATGCTTTTATGTAGTGAAAATATGTCCACGTCCATGAGTACAGGTGACTTGAATTCTGAAAAATTATGTCTAGTTATACTGGGATGTCAACTGCTGCAAAGTATGATTCCTGACCACAGTGTCTTCACACGATTGCTTTTGCTGTTTCCTTTGCCTAGAATGTCCTTCCCCTCCATCTTCACCTGATGAAATTCTACCTTTCATTTAAGGTCTAGCACTGGAAAGTACAGCCCACCCAGCCCTTCTCCCTGGCAATCCATTTGTCATACTTCCCCTTCTATCTCTGGTCACTTCTCTTCTATTGTCTTTAATGTCTGTTTTTCTCCTACCCTTTTCATAATGATACCTTGAGGATTGAGTGTTTGGCAATTCTGATTCTGTGGTCATTGCCTGCAGTCATGTGGTCCCCTGTGGCATAAACTCCTAATAACACTCCTAACCCATATCTCAAGCTGATTCCTGGATGTATCCACTTGGACGACACGATCACCTCAAACTTAAATGCACAACCTACATGCAACTTCACCCTTATGCTGTACCTTCACCCTAATTTCCTTATTTAAATCTATCAGGGCTCTAAATTGTGACATCTTTTTCATGTTGATTTCTTCTTCTCCTTCTTCTTCTTTGTCTCCTCCTCCTTCTCTTTCTTTCTCCTTCTTCTTCTTTCTTCTTCTTCCTCTTCCTCTTGACCACAGTGTCTTCACACAGTGTCTTCTCCTTCTTCCTCCTTCCTTCCTTCCTTCCTTCCTTCCTTCCTTTTACATACATCAGTCAAACAGATCAGAGCTTACCTTCAGTCTTCTGTCCTTCATGAAGCCTATCTTCTTTGCTCTAGAGTCTGGAGCTTTCCACCCTCCAGATTCACATGCTCTATTCAATTTATCTCTTAGTTGTCAGTGGGGGCTTACATAGACATTCAAGTGTTTCGTGCAGGCTAAGATGAATACAGTCCTGTTGCTCTTCACTTGAAAGGTTTCTCATTTTTTTTCTCTTCCTACATTTCAACACCTTTCCTCATCTGCTCTTGTCTCTCTTCAACTAGGGTAGAGCAATTACCCCTAAATGTCCTCCCTGGCACAGTGTACCCAGTTTCAATGCTTATGCTTGCAGAGAATGTTCTCTTTCCTCTTCTCTGCTTAGATGAATCTTCCTCATCTTCTAAGAGCAGGGTCATTACCTAACTCTACCAGAAAATCTTCCCATCCTCATGGAAGATTCTCGTCCCTGAAAGGGGTGTTGAGTATAAGGTAAAGTGAACTCGGGCCCTAGGTAAACCTGGATTTGGGTCCCAGTGATGTCATGTACTAACTGTAAAGCTCAGTTTCTCTGAACTTCAGTTTGCTTATCTATGAAACAGGGAAAATAATTCTTACCTTATAGAGTTGTCATGAGGATTAAATAAGATCATGGAAATGAAGGCTCTGGCACATGGTCACTACCATTATTGCCATGAATGACTTGGGTCTCTTCCAAGGCTGATACTCTCTGCACAACTCTAGGAGGTTCACTCTGAAGGTTGCCCCTTGCAGTTGTGAAATGTTCAACTCCGCACACTGTGACCTCAATTTGCACCCAGCAGGTCTAATGTGTCTAGAATTGATTGGTTGTCAGGTTGCTAACATGTGTTTCAGTGTTCACTAACCTCTTAGGTTTCTGAGGAGAGATCGGGGTAGGGCAGTTCTACCTACCATGAACTGCTGTTTCTCTGGCCCCATTGCTTACCGCCATCATCTGTCCTTCTACCCAGCCGCCATTGTACTTGGCCTACACCACTTGTACTTTTTCCAATGGCCTCAGCCCAGGTTCTCATGTCCTTGCATGGGCTCATTCTCTGGGCTGGAACAGTACCTGTAGCCTCTAGCTAGCACTCTTTACCCCTGTCCCCATTAGAATGTGCTATTCTTGTTCACCATCGCATCTCCAGCACCTAACATAGTGCTTGGCACATAGGACAATTGTAAGAAATGTCACATGAGTACACTGTTTCCAGGGATTATTACCTGGTTTTCCTCATTAAGGGACAGGGGATATTTAAATGAACCACTTCCTTCAACTATATGTCTGCATTTCTGTTGTCTACTAGTCTACCAAAGCACTTTGCCTATGTTAACATGTGCAAATATTATGCTAAATCATTGTCTCTTTCTTAAAAACATTACTTTTTATTGACAAGTAAAATTGTACATATTTATGGTACACAACCTGATGCTTCGAAACAGTTATGTGGCCCTGGATGACTTTGTTATTCACTCTGTTCCTCAGTTTCTTTGTTAGATGGGTATGATAACAGTATTGCTCTCATAGGGTCATGGTAAGATTAAATGAGATGCTTCTACTATCTGGAATGTTTTCTTTCCAGAGCATTCCAGGACAGGGTCCTTCTTCACATCAAAGGCTTACTTCAAATGATAAGTCCTCAAAGGCCTTTCTTGACAACTCTGGTCCCTTCTCTAGTTTCCCTCATGTCACCTTGGTTTAAGTTCTCCATAGCATTTGTCATGATCTGAATTTATCTTTGCTTACTTATTATCTGTTTATAAGTTGTGAGACCTCAGTTTCTCTGAATCCCATTCTGCTCACTTCCATATTCTCAGTGCCTAGAATCATATAGAGCATGGAGTGACACTGAATAATAAATATTTGTTCAACAGTTCACTTTTATTACTCCAAGCTTTTGAGAAAGCTAATGGACAGCTAAAACTTCTGTGAAAATTTTCTAATTGATCATATATGTTGGCGGAAGGGGGACCTCCTTTCAAAGTCCCATCAGCACGTGACTAAAGTATGTGATCCAGCTTATTAGTCACAGAAACCTACCATCTCGCTGGGTGGGATGTGATGCAGGAGTCTTAGAACTGCTAGTGGTTAAAAAGTCACTAGCTCAACCTAAGCTTCCCATCTTGAAAGGTGGTACAGCTGTAGAGCAAACTAAGAAGGCTTGCAGGTAAGAACTAAGCCAGTGGTGCAGAGAATAAGTAAAATGGGAATCCAGGTGGAGAGAATCCGTTAGAAAGGCTTTCTCAGAGGAACTTAAAGATAAGTCATCCTAGAGAGAAGAGACCAGGTACTAATGTTCGCAAAACCACTTAGAAAAAAAGCTATAATGTGTTTATTAAATAAAAATGACCAACTGATTCTTATGCCATCACAATTTTATTTTTCTTTAAAAAGATACAAAAATATTGAAAATGTAATTAGAAGTTACCATGAATTGCCCTTCCTCAAAAGCGCTCCTAGAGGACCATAAGGGGACTTATTTGTCTGATACTAGAAAACACTACATACTAATTCTACAAACAGAATCTTCAGAAGACTCCAGACCCAGGGGTCACATAGGTTCAATCAGATCATCCGAGTGAAGACACCAATCCTCAGAAATACCAGCAAAGTAAGATGGCTGCACAGGACAGGCCTCCAGGGCCTCTTCTTGGTGGCATGGGGTCTGGGTGTTGGGCCCTTCGTTGAATACACAAGGTGGACAGTGGCAGTTGGGCCTTCGGCTGAACTGTGACAAGCTAAACACCTCATAGCGGGTCTCACCATTCTGGGCCACAGCTGCACTCTCACTGGCTATTTTCATGGAGTAGGGCTTAGAGAGCCATGGGGACCGTTTCGGGGCGGCACAGGACACCGGGATCACATACTTAGGTGATGTGCCCTTAGAAGCATAGTGTATCTCAGAGCTGTAAATAACTATGTCTTCAGAGATGGCCTTGACTCTGATGCCACAGTCGGTAACTCGGTAGGTGAACTGGTAGAAGTGTGGCTGAACATGGTTGACAGGGCAACCCAGGCCCAAGTGTAGCTCATAAAAGTGTACATAAACATCATTGTTCAACATGAAGGGGTGTACTGTGACCATGAACCAATCTGTAGAGCACAGCACAGTCATTGGATTTTGTCCAGAACAAGCTGAAAACATGGAGATGAAGACCACCCCTCCTACCAACTCAAAAACTTTCATCCTTGCAGTCGTCCAGGTAACAACCCACAGGAAACAGGAAGGTGTCCAGTGAGGATTTCTAGAGCACACAAAAACACAAGAGATGAGACTTATTGCCTATTGGAAGTTCGAATATGATTTTTTTTTAAAGCAAAAGGCTGTCCTTAAAACATTAAGAAGAGAGAAATAAATTTTAATTTCATTGTAGGCACTCACAGTTTTAGGGTTGACTACAATGGCTTCTTTTGCCGTGTGTGTGTGTGTGTGTGTGTGTGTGTGTGTGTGTGTGTGTTAGTTACTGGGGATGGAACCCAGGGCCTCACTCATGCTAGGCAAGCACTCTATGCCTGAGCTGTATTAACAGCCTCCTTAAGTGGCTTTACTATGCTGTTCTGGTATAAAACACATACCTTCTCTTGTGTGCAGAGTGAGAATCTGCACTGATCAGGAGTGGTATCTCATTGCTTGTAACCCCAATGTGAAACCAAAAAAACCAGGTTTTTCGTGTGTGTCGAACATTAAGTAAAGGGAAAGGCGATAGTTTAATTGGAGCAGCCAATGCGCTCTCTTTAAGGATTACAATGTCCTCACATAGATCACTCTAAGGAACCCTCCTTGTTGCCTTCTTTGTAAGCAACAAATTTGATTTAAAAAAAAAACGTAAGAAGAAATTATTGTTTATTCCTGCCAACAACATATTGAAATTTTGCTGAGCGGGTCACTTGAAAGTGATCAAATGAATGCTGCATGAGTCCCAGCAGAAGCATCATAAGTCATTATGACCAAAAGATTCCCTACACTCATTGGGACATCGTGTAAAATAGCAAAATTGCAGAAATGTAAAAATATGCTGCTTTTTAGTGGCATATATTAAAATGTCACGTGACATTTCCATACGTGCATATAATGTACTTTGATAATTTTCACCCCTCTACTACTCTTTCCTATTCCCCCTGGGATCCCCCTCCTTCCCTTACCATCTCCCTAGTGGTTCCCCTTTCATTTTCATGACCTTGGTTGTTTGGTTAGTTTCCCCCTAGCTTTCACATATGAGAGAGAACATGTGCTACTTGTCTTTGTGAGACTGGCTTATTTCACTTAACAGGATAACCTCCAGTTTCACCCATTTTCCAGAAAATGACATAATTTCTTAATGGCTGAGTAAAAATCCACTCTGTCTATATAGCACGTTTTCTTTATCCATCCATCAGCTGACAGGCACCTAGGCTGACTCCACAGTCTGGTATGCATAGAGCTGCTATGCTGACTTTCCATTCCCTCAGGAGTGGTACAGTAGGATCAGTGGGAGTTCTATTTTTAATTTTTTTTTTTTGGTGAGACTGGGATTTGAATTCAGAGTTTTGCACTTGCAAAGCAGGCATTCTACCACTTGAGCGACACCTCCAGTCCATTTTGCTGTGGTTATTTTGGAGACGGGGGTCTTGCAAACTATTTGCCCTGACTAGCCTTGAACTGAGATCCTCTTGAACTCAGCCTCCCAAGTAGCTAGGATTATGGGTGTGAGCCACAAGTGCCTGGCTTATTTTTAATTTTTTTTTAGGAACCTCTGTACTGATTTCTACAGTGGCTGCACTTATTTAACTTCCCATCATCAGTAGATAAGAATTTTTTTTCCCACATCCTTACCAGCATTTGTTATTGTTTGTTTTCTTGGTGATAGCCATTCTGACTGGGGTGAAATCTCAATGTAGAAAAACAAACTGGTTTTTAATTTTATATTTTTCAATGCATATTGCACATGAAAACTACTTAAAAGTCTTATATTAAAGAAAGGGAGTAACTATTAGGTTTACACTTCACGTATCAATTCACAAACTATGTCCTAAAATTGATGCTTCAGATTTTTCTTTTATATTCATTAACCATTTGTTTCTTTTCTTTTCGAGTTGGAAGCTCTGTGACCACTTCCTAGTCCTGTTGTGCTTTTGGTCTGAAAGAGCAGCAGGCAGATGAGTAGGCAGAAAAAAGTGAAACTAAGATGAAGTGTCTAAAGCATGCTATTGGAAGGAGGTAACAAGAAGGATGGGAGGAAGGATGGAGAAAGGGAGAGAGGGAGAACACCAACTATTGTCCAACTCAGCTTTCATTTTTAAAAGTGAAAATGAGAGAAATCAAGTAGAAAAACTTGGAAGGAAATGTACATGTATACATGGACGGATTCACTTTTCCGCCTGCTGAGAAAACACCTGAATGAATGCTTTCATTCTCAGACTTATTATTTATTAAGTGCCTACTATGTGAATGGAACTGGGCTACACAGCACCGGAGACTTTTCCTTCCTCCCCTTCTCCCCAGCTGCATAAACGCAGCTCTTTCTCTTCCTTTGCTATTGATGACTTTGCTGCATTCTTTGAAGGAAACCATGGCACAGGGGCCCACTGGAAAAGTGCACTGGCCTGGACAAAAAGCTTGGTTTCTGATTCATACTGCTCACCCTATCTCTCTTTCTTTCATTAATGACTCTCAGGGGTGTTGGGGTGTAAAGAGAAGCCAAAGGGGTCTGCCGGACTCTTTCCTTTCCTCTTTGTTCATTCTGAAATGTCACTTCTGGGGCTGTATTTTTTTTTTCACAAAACAAAATTAGAAGCAGCAGCACAACACACACACACACACACACACACACACACACACACACACACTATCTCCTTACCTCCCCCACCCACAAGACAAGACAAAGCAACTACACTACACGAAGAAGAAGTCAGTTCTGATGCTGTGGTCCTAGATGACTCACCAGTTAAGTAAACAAAATTCTTGCTCCAGAATGATGCATGATTTACTGAGGTTCCTTTGGGAAGCTGAGGAATCAACCCCATGACCACCACGCTATTGTCTTGGTCCAAAGGAGACCATCTTTTCCTAGGCATGATTTAGGAATGGCTTTCTCTCCTTCCCTCCCTTTCTCCTTCCCTTCCTTCTCCCCTTCTTCTTTCCTTAACACCATCTCATAACCTGGGCCTCTGTGCCCTGAACAAAACTTTCCTCGTTAAGTAGTTCTTAGAATTGGCCAAGGAAACACTTCTTTCTTTCCATTTTTGCTTTTGAACCCCCCAGAATGAGACTCAAGATTAAGGCTGTTCTTGTCCAGGAGTTAAACCACCCATTTCCTTTCTCTCTTTCCTTCCTATACTCCTCCCACTCATGGATACTCCAAATAGAGTTATAAACTTCCTAGATTCCCTGGGAAACAAGACAGTCGATCCTGGAGCAGTCATTTTCAACTTCCTCCTTGCTCCACACTCAGATCTTGAATCACGTTACACTGAGTCAGTCTGAAGGAAGGGGTTCAGTGACATCACTGAGTTTGGGGGATTATTTAATACCATCTCCAACTTGCACAAGACACAATCTGATTCCTCTGGTGTTCTTAAAGCCAGGAACAAATTGCCATGTGACAGGAGCAATAAGTGAAGGTATGTGTGTGACAATATACCTCTGAGCTCAGAAAAAGTTCTAAAAGGAAGTTGGTGGAACCCATGTTTAAGGCTGTATGACTCTGGGGTGAGAGGTGAGGAGCAGAGCAAGACGTGCTTGTGAATGAGCTTGCTAAGGCTGAACTCAATGCCTCATTTTGGGACTGGCTCTCTCCCTTTTGCTGAGTACAGGTCATCAAAGTAGGGCAACCTCCCTTTCACTGCTGCTTGCCATTCCCAGAGAAGGGGAGGGGTGTGTGTGTGTGTGTGTGTGTGTGTGATGAGTTTGTGTTGAGGGATGGTTATAAGTCACTCATAACTCAGTGTGAAATCTCCACTTCAGCTGACTTTCTGACACCTAGCTGAGGTGTGCTGGCATAACAGGATCTGGAGAAGGGAGGGAGAAGGTGGGCTGTGGTTACAGGGGCCAGAGAGAGGCCAAGGGTCAAAGAAGACTGAGGGGCTAAGCTAGAGGTGGGAGGTGGAGGGTTGGTCGAGGGGTACCAAAGTGAAGGTATTTTTAGTACAGCCCTAGTTTGGGCTGTGCACGGCAGGCTGGGAGCTGTGGATAGAGTTCCAGTTAAAAGTCTGCAGAAATCTTCAGAGCTGAGGGGGAAGTTGGAAACTCACCTTGTAAGTACTGTCCAGCTTCTTGCTGAGGTGGCTGGGTAGTTAGAAAGCAGGTCTGAGGGTTTGCAGTACCAGAGCCCCATTTGGACTCGATTGCGAATTCTCCCTGCAGTGAGCTGAGATGCATTTGTCTAGCCAAGCAGGGCTCAACTCTGGGTACATACCGTCCTGAGTTCAGCTATAGAGAGGCTGGGCAGCCCCAGAGCTGCTCATAGCACCTGGATGCAAAGTGCTGGCTCTCTTGGCAGCTAGGGTACAAGTAGCTTTCTGTTTTTCTAAATGTGGCTTATGCATATACATTCCTGTTAGCTCCTTAACAGTATTCTCCTCCTCTTTCTCAAGAACTCAGTAATAAGCTTAACTCTTAATAAATCCTTTACATTAAAAAATAATGAGGTGTTTCATTTTGGGAATATGAACTGTTTCTCCCCCCCCCCCCGTAATCAAAGCTACTGTTTTAATTAGGTTCAGAAGAATGCAAGGGCATATGTTTCAGAGATACCTACGTCAGTCTCCAAGAATGATAAAATTAGATTAGGAAAGGAGACAGAGGTCATGTGAGACCAACACAGCCCGCTTTTTCTTCTTATAAACAAGAATGGAATGGATTGGCCTAAGCAAACAAATAAACAAGAAGCAAAGAAGAAGCAGGAGCTGCCACTTAACTCGCTATTATTAATTTAAATGCTGTTTATGAAGTTCAGAAATGCCTTTTTAAATTGACAAATAATTGTATATATAGTCGTCCCTCCATATCAATGGGGATTGGGTTCCTGAAACTCTGAGGATACCAAATCCCTCTGCAGCTCAAGTCTGTTATACAACATGACATATAACCTACACACCCTCCTGTAGGCCTTAAATCATCTGTAGATTACTTATAATATTGGATGCAATGTAAATGCTATGGAAATCGTTTTTATGCTGGACTGTTTAAGGAATTATTATAAGACAAAA